GAGAGGACGAGAAGATCTTACCGTTTGCAGATGAAGAAAGACAAAGGCAGCAACTTCTCCTCAATTATTTTAAGACCCTGAGTGTTGGTCCGGCCGGGGTTTGAACCTGCGACCTCCCGCACTAAAGYCCGATGCTCTACCTACTGAGCTAACCGGTCGGAGCTGTGACCTATGATGTGACCTTTTCRAACACGACTACGTTTTTTCAATTATAGGTGTATATAACAGTARTAAAATAAAAAGGACTTGCTTACAATGTAGTCATCTTTAATGCTCTTGTACAATGGAGTTCCCCTTTCCACTGTTAACTGATATAATGATAAATGCTTATCACAAACAGACAATACCTAGAAAGTAAATAAAGAAACCTATGTCATTATTTGGATCTAAACTGTATGATGTCAGAACTCTTYAATAACACCTTTGTGAGYTCTTTTTCCCAGGCATCCACTGTTTGATGAGGTTTTCCAAACAATAAATCAACAGAAACTTTTCCTKGAAATAAACTCTTGGCCTCTTGCAAWGATCTGAGAACAAAGGAATTGCTTTTTTTAGGCTTTGCACTTAAAAACTCTCTGGAAGGTTAAAAATAACAATCATTATCACAGCTCTATAATCAGATCATAATATTATAGTATAGGTTACATGTATTACATGTCCAAAAATGATCATGATTTTATTATTGAGGTCAAAATATAATATTTTGAGTAGCGTACCTAATTGATTCATCAACTGTGTGGTCTCTCCCCAAGATGACAAGATCTTTAGAAAGCATAGACTAATTGATAATGGATAAATAAATCAAAGAACAGTATATTATAATCTAATTAACAATGAAAGGACAAAATGCTTGATAACAAAACAATCTTCTACATGATTGTACATTTATTACTTGTAAGTTTACTAATGTCTTACAATACTACACCAACTCTAAAATAATGGCTTGAATGGAATRAAGGGCTAGGTAGAAACACCCCAGTTTTGACTTGAACTATGCACTTGCATCATTTTTTTTTWAAATAACATTTTTCATTTGCATTAATATTCTATTTTTAAAGTYCTTACTTGAATCCCAAGAGATAAGCGGTTGATGCCAGATGCTTTGAATTGCCTGAAAGTACAACAATGTCAATCTCCTGTTTTTTTAACAATATTCAGTCAGAGAATCTCAGCAAATGATCTAGTATGTATTAATATACTTATATTCTTAGTGCACCTGGATGTTATTATATCCTTGTCAAAGTCACTACAAACCCAGGATCTTAATCAAAACAATTTAGATATGTGTTCTATCTATTTTCATTACACTTTCTAACACTTCTAGAACTCATTAATAATTCATGATGTTTTATTAATAAGTTCTATATCAGATAAAGAACTGATGTTCAAGGT